GCAAAAATGTTTGCTATTTCTCCAATTATGTTTGTTGACTATATGATGTAAAATGGACACCCATTTCTCATGGAGCACTTCAGCATTTCCCTGACAACTTTGTGCACACCACCAAAGGTGATTGGATACAGACTGAATCCACTCTAGTAGCTCATGATTTTCTTTTTTCTTTGCCTTCTCTGTCAATTTTTTTGTCACCCACTTTGAGAGATGCCAAACATCATATTGGTGCACTATGGAAGGGTACCTCTTTCGCATTTCAGAGGTTATTTGAATGTGGCGGTCAGTTGTCAATGATCTCACTTTCACACCTTGCTCAATGACATTGTCAAGTGCTCTTTGGCATCCTTTTTTCTCCATTGCATTAGAGGATGAAACTTCAGAGACTTGAACAAGAGAAAAGTCAATAATTTTGCGCTATGACCAGGACTGTCTGATCTACCATCACCACATAAGTCAACCGGTTTCATTTTGTTTTTGATGGTTTCAATAATTTCTTTTTGTTGTTTTTTATAGACATTGTCAATGACTGGGAAGACAATCTTATTTTGAACTTCATAAAACTGATCTTTATTTACAAAGTTTAAATTAATTGCATTTGCAAATTGTTTGGTGGCTTCATAGGTTCCTCCAGTCATGATAGTTGCAGCAGGAATTAAAATATTACCTGCTGGTTTATTGTGAAATATGGTTGAGACTTCCACTGGTAAGTATGATTATTGCTACATGTTGTTTTATGGCAACCATACTACCAATATGGGACTTCTCAATCTCACAAAGAGAACCACATATTCTACATGTTGCGAACAGCTTATCAAGCATGCTTTCAAAGACAATGAATTTTCTTTGATTTTTTAGTTCCTCACCTTCAGATTCCTCATCTGTATCTAGTTCCTCAAGATAGGTATAATCATCATCACTATCTGATGCAGCAATATCATCACTGCTTCCTAAAGAGATTTCTGAATCAGATGATATAATAGGAGTTGTTATGATAGGAGTTGTTGTGTTAGGAGTTGTGGGAGATGTTACTGGTTTTGGTGTACGACTTGAAGAAACTGCATTTAAAGAGGGGGCAACATTTTTTGAAGCGTTTTAATTTTTTAATGGTTTCCTTTTTCTTTGTGCAAGAGTTTGTATGGCAACTGTCCTTTGTCTTGGTGTATCACACTGTGCTTCTGCATCAATGAAAACTTTGGCTCACATTGAATCTGGGCATCCTTGGACAATGGACTGGGAGGCTGATCTTCAATGCATGTTGCAAGATTTGTATCTTCATCTAGTGATTGTATTATGCTTCTAACTTCCTACAAAATAGTCAAACTTCTCAACCAAGAGAGTACAAAGCTAATTGTTTAAAGAACAGTTCAATAACTTCAAATATAATCTATATGGTTGCAATATCCTATTTACCTCATGTCTTGCAATTCTATCTCTCATTTGTTCTCTTCTGTGTGACATTTTTCGCTCGGGTTTACGATTTAAAATGGAAATATCGATGGTACACTACTAGGTTTTAATATCTTTTCGATTTCATGCCGAATATCTCCTTTAGAGAAGTACTAAAGCAATCTGGGGTGAAATGGTCGCTACATACGTAACACGAATTTGGCTTCGGTATATTATCACGACGAACCCGTGCAAGCCATATTTTTGCATTGTTGGGTCGTTTGGCAATCGATGATACGATACATCGCTACCTTTTGTTTTCTAGATCCGTTAGTGCAATTAGGCACCATGCAATGTGGCATTGTTCCGAAATATTTAAAGTAAACAAAGTAATTGTAATTGTGTCGCTTTTCCTGATATGTTGTCTATTTGAATATATATACGCTCCCGCGAAAGCGCGCAGTGACGTCACGAGACTTTGCCGCTGCTTGATCGCAGGTTCGCACGCATGTACATAATAGCTGATACAAAATATACAAAATTTCGTGGTTTCATCGCTTTATATCTCGACTTGTATTTAACTAGAAGATATAATATTTGGTATATAAGGTAATAAAAATATAATCTTTCATTTGGGCCAAAGTTGTTCCGAACTCTGACTTCCCCTTTAAGAGCCGCCATTAAAATGCGCCATATTTGAATTTTCAAGATGGAAGGTGCTTGTGACGTCATAGTCTTAGCTCGCGGCTGTTTACAATATAACACTATATACAAATAGAGATATAAAAGGTTGTATAACTCAATTTTTTTAACATGCCTTCAACACGCTGTGTCGTGCAAGATTGCAGTAATACGTCTGATAGAAGTACAGGCATTTCATTACATAAAAGCCCAAACGACGAGTCTTTAAGAAGAATTTGGGTTAAATTTGTTGAGACGAAGCGCGCAAACTTTAATCCGAGTTCGCGCGAAATTCGATTTATGATTTGTTCGAATCACTTCTCGGATGATTGTTTTGAGCGTTTTTTCCATTTGGGTGGTATGACTAGACGGCTCAAACCCATTGAGTTCTATAATAACTGGAGGGGAAACGTCAACAAAATTTGTATAAATTATTAGCGCGCGGCCGCGTGGTCAAAAACATGGCGGATTTTGGTGGTCAAAGTCAGCGGAGAGACGCGGGCTCATGAAATAAAATTTTTGGCGCCCACCCTGATTTGACCACCACAATTGCGAGTATAGAAAATATCAAAACTTTTTATTTTCCTAACATAAACACTTTTTTAAAATTTATTTATTAAATTGCCAACTTCTGTGGTTTGCGGATGCTGAAATAGCGACAGAAAAGGAAACATTTCATGACTCCGGTAAGTAGCACAGTATTAGTTTTACTATTTTGTTTTTAACACGATACTTGAAGAGTGTTTCTACTACTAAGTTTTAATTTAAAGTTATTTTGGTCCAGTCTTGTTTGTTCTTCACTTAATCGCTCGCCAGACGTGTCGAAGCTGTCAATTTTTATCGAGTTTTGCATCCATCTTCTATCATGATCAAGGCATCAAGCTAAACTCTCCTGATTTGAATTGAGTTTACCTCCCAAAAATGGGGCATAATTTGTTCATGTTTTTTGTTGAAAAGATGAAGGGAAAATTTACAACAGAGTTGTGTTGAAATTGAATGCAGTGCCATGCAAAATTAATGAGAACTATGGTATATGTTGTATAATAAAAATAACTATTAAACTGTTTGCCTGCTCAATTTGACTGACTGTATAGTGTAGACAATTATAATGGGATTGGAAAGTTGGATTTATGCAAACAATTTTAAAGTACTACTTAGCGTTTCTGTAAATGAAATATTTATTGTTATAGTAAACAGGTTACTACTTCAAAACTAAGATAAAAGTAGTGTGTTGAACAATGTGCTAAGATTTGTTTCTACCTTGAAATTTTTGTTCAACAGTAGCTTATGATTATATCATTAATATGCATGAAAAATTAAACATATTATTGTCTCATCTCATCAAATCCATACTTGGTATGATTCCAGATGATCCACAAATTCACATCGGATGCATTGGTTACAATGAAGTTGAATGTAGAAGAAGCAAAAATAGATGGCAAAGAAATGCTTTGTGTCTTATGAAGAATTAGTAGAAATCAATAAAAAGGATTCTTTAAACAAATTGTAAACAAATTTAAATTTGCTCATGGTCAAGCAACCTAGTCAAAGAAGCAAAGTCTGTCTTCAACATGTGACCTTTCCAATTATTTAGTTTCTTTGTACAAAATACTATTTTCGAGAAACTTGATTTGTAAGTCTTTCATTAATATTTTTTTACCAAGAGATAAAAGGAACTAATTCAAAGGCTTGATGTAAAATACAAAGATTTAACAAGTTGTTTATCATTTAATTCCCAAATGTTAGTTTGTACATATAAATAATTAGTATTGGTAGCTGTAAGTTGTTTAAGCAAAACAGAAGAGTAGTAGTGCTCGAAGGGGTTAGCATTTTTGAAAAATTATATCTTGTTCATGACATATATTACACAATTCCAAAAAACTGTAAGTGATGCACAATAATATCTATAGAACTTGATAAATTTCTTCACCTACACTGTCAAATAACTATTTTGCCTTCATGCAGCAATAGACAGTGTTTTTGTCAGAGAAACCAATGCACTTTAGTTTCCAAGTTTGTAATTTCAATGGCAAATTAATGTAGTTCTGTTCAGTAATAGATCCAAGATTCTGCCAAGCTGTTTACAAAATACAAATTACCAAGCAACAGTGTCATGGTGTTTTGAATTTTTTCTTTTGTAGCTCTTCTAGTTCAACATACTTTCTTTATGAGTTTTCAGTAGATTTATCAGGTAATGACAATACACTTATGATACTTATCCATGGTAAATTTTTAGTTGACTTATGTCGTAGGACTGAAGCAAACATTTTCTCGCTTCCTTAGGAGCATTTTTACACAAATTTATCCATTTGAAGCAAGAAAAATAGGTGCACCAAACTGTTGACAAACAGTCAAACACACAAAAGCATGAAATAATGTATAAGTTTGACGAGATTGACAGGTCTAGTAAAGAATGCCGTTTGATTTTCACTTTTAAAGGTTAAAATGTCATAAAATAACTTAAATGTTACATCAAAATATGCGTTTCTCTACCGTCGATTTTCTTTACTTTGATGTGTGTGTATGTACTGTGTTTTCACGCAATGATGAAGCATTATTTTCACATGATATGCTGTCGGTATCGTAATTGTTTTTTTTTCTCACTTGTTTTCGTTCATACAAACAGTATTAGAAATCAGGAGGGAGTGAATATTGAAAAAAACTTTTAAAGTGGAAGTTTTGACCACCAAAATCCGCCATTACCGCCATGTTTTTGACCACGAGGCCCAGGCCCCTTTGCCCCTCCAGGTCTTATAGAGCTCAATGCTCAAACCTGGTGCCGTACCTACTATTTGGAAGAAATCGCCAACACCAACAACGTCAAGAGAGCGGCGTCAGGTTAGCACAAGTTGCAATTATTATATACTTACACATATTGCAGATGACAAATTTTCACAATTTGAGAGAACCAATAATGCATCCAGGCAAACTTTCAATATATAATATACATTTATACTAAGGGTTTAAAGGAAATACAAAATGAAGTGTCTGTATCATGCATGAAGAAAGAAGATTCGTGCTATTTTCAAGAAGAAAAATATCGTCCGTATTTTGTTGTAACAACAACAAGGCGGTGGCAAATGTCTGGAGCTGCCTGTAAAGTCCCATAGAAGACGCACGAGTTGTCTGTACGATACTGCTCGAAAGAACCGATAAATTTCAAAAAGTAAACATAGATGCAGGCGCACAAAATAATATTTTTAGAATTTTCACAAAGAAAAAGGCTTACTCCTCTCTGGTATTTTGACCATCTCGAAAAACGGTCACATAACTGCGACACATAACTTGAAGAACAAATTCGTTCAGGCAAACTTCGTTAAAGCCAGGGTGATCCAAAATGCATTTCCTTTCATCGATTTCGAACTGATACATTTTACCACGGCATTGCTGTATTTCCATGCAGCATCGGCACTCTTGAGGGTTGACAACAAGATCCAACGAACAATGGCCACATTCACACCTTTAATGTTGGCCAAATTGTATGTTTCCATAAAGTTATCATAGCTAACGGCAGACGATTCAGATCAAAGTAACACACTAAGAATGACATCTTACCTTGAAGTAACATCAACACGGGCATCAAAACGATCTTGCAGCATGTCTTCAACCCGCCGTTCTTCTGCGACTGTAGCTTCGTACTCAGCAATTTCATCGGGCGAAGCAAGCGGTTCAATATTATCGACAAATGGCAACATTTCCGAATTATATTCGTTCAAATTTGCCGTCACAAATTCCGATGAAGAAATCGATGCGTTTGTCTCGATCGAAGACTCAGAGAGCGAGCTAGATCTCGATGAATTTGACATTTTTTTGCTCTATTTATGTTTTTCTTTGTATACTTTCCAGTGTGCGCTTCTCTGCGTGTTAAGACTATGACGTCACAGACCTTTGCTGATTCATTGAACTAAATATAACTGGAAGGCTACCTTCGCCCGGAAATTTGAAGCCTAAGTCGACAGTATCGTTCCCAGTCTTTCCACGCTTGTGATAAACACGACCAAAACAAAATATGTCAGTGTTTTAGTCATTTTGACAGCGGATTTTGCAAAACTATGAAAAAAACTGGAAGTAAATTGCAAAAATGTAAATTTTCCAGGTCATTTATAGTAAGTTTGATTACGGTAATAGATCAATCAAGCAATCGTGCCTTTTGAAAAAAACAAACTTAACAAGCCTCGACAAATGCGATTTTGACATCTTGCAAATTTGCATGGTATTGTTTTAAAAATTTCTTAAAAAACGTTAAACCAATAATGACATTAACATAACAGAACGTTAGCAAAATTATGTTTTAAAGTAATATTTACGAAGAAAAACAAGTATAGCTTCTTCTCACCCCAGTCCTTTTTTTAACGTTAGAGCGTATATTTCCTTGATTTTGCAAACAAAAGTTATTTTTCATAAATTGTCGTCTTTAGGACAAAGATAAGTATTCAGGATTGTTCAGTAAACATGCCACTTACATGTGTGATAATTGGGTGCAGGAACAGGGCTATTTCTCACCACATAGGTGCAGAAACTGTTGCTTTTCACAGGTAAAATTCCAATACATAAGTTGAAAAAATGACATCAAACAAAACTGCAATTTGGAAAGATTAAACATGCTTCAACTACAAAAATGAAATTTTAATAAAATTCAGTTAAATACTAACATATATAAATTCTATATTTTGACAGTTTAGTCATATACAGTATTTATTTGTTTAGCTGGTCACAATTGCAATAAAATAATACTTTTCACAGTAAAAGTGTAAAGTAGATATAACTGGTATCATATTGTTAGTACAGGGCTTACAACTTTATTTAACTGGACAAGGATTTGTAGTGAAATTACTGGAAGTATAATATTTAAAATACTAGATCATGAATATTTATATGTATTACAGATTTCCCATGAAAACAAGGCAGCCATAAAATTATGGGAGCATTTTGTTCAACAAGTAAACCATCTTGAAGTACCATGGACAGCAAAAGTGCACATCGTTATATGCAGTGACCATTTTCAACTAACTGACTACATTGTCCCCCTCACAAAATGGCAAATGCCGACTAAAAAGTATGCCATACCATCCATGTCCAATAGCTTGCATGTTCAAAATGTTTCAACTACAACCCACTCAAGCGCACTGCTGAATAGACTCGAGCTTTCAAATAAAAGACCTTTTGCAGCTACCTCTGATTCCGTTGATGAAACTTCTCCACCCAAAAAAATCTCCAAAACATCTACAGAAGAAAAAAGAGATTTGTTTAAAAATAAGCTTCAACAAAAATTGAAACTTGCAACAACAACTGAGGCGCACAAAACAAAAGGTTGAAACCATGGGTGAAGTTGTCAAGATTTTAAAAGATAAGTTGGTGATCAATTCAAAAGAGGCAGAAAGTCTTTTGTCCACTTTCAATGATACTCAGTTGGGATTTTATACAATATTAGAGATAATTTAAAATGTCCTCGTTCAGGCAGAAGATACTCTGATGAAATCAAAGAATTTGCACTTACTTTATATTTTATTCTCCAAAAGCTTATAAATATGTTCGATCCATTGTTCCACTACCCAATCCATCTTTGATGAAAAATGGTCTCGTCCATGAAATGTGACCCTGGTTTCATTAAAGATGCATTCCAATCACTATCAAATGAAGTTGCTGCTTCCCCAAATTCCAGAGACTGCTGTTTGGTTATTGATGCAATGTCAATACTGAAAACAAACAATATGGAATCCAGAAGATGACCAGTATTCAGGGTTTGTTAATCTTGGAGATACACTCCTAATCATAAAACAGAGAAATTGGCTTCTGAGGCACTAGTATTTTTATTAGTTGGCACCAAAAGTCATTGGAAATGCCCGTTGGGTACTTTTGGTTGACAAAATCAATGGTAAAGACCAAGCATCATTGGTAATACAATGTCTTGAAAAGGCATCAAAGGCAGGTTTAAAGGTATGGTCTGTAACAGCTGATGGTACTGCTGTAAATCTTCATACATTTGAAAGTCTTGGTTGCAACTTTAACGGTACATATGATGAAATGCGGTCTTCATTTACCCATCCAACTACTGGCGAAGATGTGTTTGTAATTCTTGACCCTTGCCATATGTTAAAGCTTGCACAATGCACTGGCCCAACTTGGTTCTTTTAAGGATGGCAAGGAAAACATTATAAAGTGGAGTTACATAGAACAACTTCAAAACCACATATGGAAGAAGGATTAAACCTAACAAACAAACTTACGAGTAATCACCTTAACTTTCACAAACACAAAATGAATGTGCGACTTGCTGCACAAACATTGAGCTCCTCTGTGGCAAATGCTATTGAGTTTTTAGACAAATCCGCTAAACAACCAAATTTCTCTGGCAGTAATGGGACAGTGACATTTATTAGCATTATCGACCGACTTTTGACATCCTTAATTCCGGAATCCACTGGGTAAGGGTTTTAAGGCACCTCCGACTTTCAAGTCAGGAAACATGGCAAGAAGTGTTATCATCATCAGCAGAATATTTACTATCATTAAAAACCAACACAGCTTCCTCTCAACCAATTTGTACATCTCAGCGCAAAACATTTGTAATTGGGTTTGTTACCTGCATCAAATCCACTATTTCAATGGCAACACAGATGCTCTCTTCATCCATCAATCCATTCAAGTATCTCTTAACCTACAAATATTCACAGGACCATATTGAACTCCTGTTTTCCTGCATTCGCTCAAGAGGTGGATGGAACAACAACCCCAACAGTCTCCAAATGAAGTATGCCCTTCGAGAAAATGTTGATGAGAAATGCCATTACTGCATCAAAAAATGCAAACTGTTTGGACTTTACTGGCTGCAACAACCTGATACCACTTTTTCGTACAAGAAAACATTCACCCACATTACATAATCAGTCACAAGAAACTGCTGCCCAAGACACTGACAATAAAATTAATGCAATGGTGCAACATCTCCAAGAAGGCAACAGCAAATTTATTTCGAACGTTATATTTTATATTGCAGGATACATAGTTTCGAAGTTAGTCAACAATTTATCTTGCCCAGAATGCAAACGATGCCTTTGTCCTTTACCAAAATCGTTATCCGTAGATGACCATGATTATACTGCCACAAAATATCATGAAGCTGGAAAAGCGTCAGCTTTCGTCAACTTCGTGAACAACGGTGGTTTACAGATTCCATCCACAGCGGTGTATCGTTGTATAGAGTTCTGCGAACACGTTTTCAAAGCAACGGTGACAGGCAACGACAATCAGCATATTAGTAACAGGGCAAAGTTGAAGAACAGTATGATTATTGCAGTTTGCCAACATTTTAATCTGGAATCGACCTTTCCTCTATTCAGAGATCACGAAGATGGTGTTAACGAGGCTGTTATCGAAGACGATCACAGCACTCAACTGACAAAGCATATCGCAGACAAATATTTCACACTGCGTCTTTTCAACTACGGTAAAAAATATACGAGGGAGATCGTAAATAAAGGCAAAACAAGCGACAGGCACCGACTCAATAAGCTAATCTTGTTTAACAATGAATAAATTTAATGTGTAAACACTTTATGAATACAATGAATAAACACTTACCCATTGGGATTTTTACATTTGAAAGTTTTCGCCAATATCCGAGCACAATCCTTTGCCATCGGTAAGCCTTCTGGGTAAAAAATTATTTGGTCGGCAAGAAACTTAAATTTCCTGTATTAATATCAAAAAAACGCAGCAAAACTAAATAAATTCAGTAATTTTCCTTTCTAAAGCTTGGCCAAAACATGTAGTTTATTCGTTCAGACTCTTTACTCACTCCTTCCAATCACGCATCGCGAGGCCGAACTCGCGTGATTTGACTACCAGAAACGCGTGTCTGGAGGTCAGATCACGCAAAATTTTGGCTTCATTTCGTGTGTTACCGATATATCAGAAGGTAGCCTTCCAGTTATATTTAGTTCAATGTGCTGATTGCAAATATTCAAAATGGCCGATTTTAATGGCGGACATGAAAATTAGACATTTCAAATGTTCATAACTCCCTCGTTATACTATTATTTTGGCTTAAATTTTACGAAAGCAATAATTGATATGTGTTTAAACTATTGAATGCTAAAATCGATGATTTTTTAATGTTCAGTTTTCGTCATAGTACCACTTTAAATCTTTGTCACATTTGATATAAATTAAATTGTGTAGCCATGGAGATAACTATAAAGGTTTTTGTATCGTGCTTCCACCACACACTTTGGAATTGAGAGTATCCACTTGTCAGAACAACACGTTTTTAGTTTCGGACAATGCTTTCCTTTGTTTTTAAGAATAATGGCTAATATCTTCGATCGTGACTAAAACACCACACGAGTACATACGAGTACATACGAGTAACATACGAGTACATACGAGTACATACGAGTAACATACGAGTACATACGAGTAACATACAAGTACATACGAGTAACATACGAGTACATACGAGTAACATACGACTATTTTCTGGTCAACAAATGATAAACAACACAATTTCTTCAATACATTGATATTTGCGTTTATTTTTCCATGTATTTGTGAGGACTTTGGGGCAACCATTCGATGGATTTAAATACTGAAAAGGTATTTTACTTTCATACTACATTCATTTGTATGTTTTAGTTGAATTTGTTATAGATATTTTGTCGATGCGATTTGCCAGTATTTGAGCGCTTTTTGACATACTTTCACCTAGGAAATACATATTTATGAAAGCGATTATACATTCATTTTTGTCTTTAAGATACTGATTTTTCAGTTAAAAGACTGAATTATATCAGCTAGAACTTTAAAAACATTAAAAGTAAGCTGAAATTGTACGCATAATATGATACGTAACACAGTGCAACTCTCATTTAATTCAAATATATATAATGTACATTTATTTCATAAAGCACGTTTTGAAAGCATTATTTATACGTTGTTTATTTAATCGCTTTCATAAATATGTATTTCCTAGGTGAAAGTGTGTCAAAAAGCGCTCAAATACTGGCAAATCGCATCGACAAAATATCTATAACAAATTCAACTAAAACATACAAATGAATGTAGTATGAAAGTAAAATACCTTTTCAGTATTTAAATCCATCGAATGGTTGCCCCAAAGTCCACACAAATACATGGAAAAATAAACGCAAATATCAATGTATTGAAGAAATTGTGTTGTTTATCATTTGTTGACCAGAAAATAGTCGTATGTTACTCGTATGTACTCGTATGTTACTCGTATGTACTTGTATGTTACTCGTGTGGTGTTTTAGTCACGATCAATATCTTCAGCGTAATTGTCGCCCTGTTTTCTGTTTCCGTTGACCAATTTTTGAAAACATCAATTTCGGTCTTCAAGCATAAAAAGTTAATGATGTATTATGTCGGTGTCCATAAATAAAAAAAAGATAAGTGATGTTTTTTAATAAGGGAACATGTCACAACGTTGGGCCACTTTTGAAGCTCTTAATTCTTGAAACATTTGCACCTCAGTCAACTCACAAATTCTAAATATTGCTCTTAATGATATATAAAAATGCTGCAAAGTTAACGCCTTTAAAGCTCTTTATTTAAATCTGTTGCGCAGTTTTCGGCATGTCTGTAAGGCCAACGAGCCAAGAATGTTTAAAATGAACGGTTTCATGCTGTACATCAAGTTCATTTTAATATAAATGTATGCGTTTTGGCAAAATCTTAGTATTAAAAAAGACAGTGTTAAAGGTGTAAGAGTTTTGGATGAATTCTAGATTTCTAATTCAGTTTTATCAAATGTCTTTTTCTACGTTATAGCTTAACCTAAAGTGGAGCAAAAACAGGTTGCAGCAATCGGCTTAACAATATCGAAAATTTGTTAATTCTATTGACGATATTACTTGACTTTTTAAAATCGACTCATCAAGTCGGTCAATTTTCATATCTGCCATGATTAATCACAGATATACATTATTCTTATTTTGAGACATATAGAAATGACGTTCGTACTAATGAATAGCAATAAACAAATTTAATTCTCCATCAATGCAAGATTTTTGTGAAAACATTTAAAATCCAACAATCAGTCGCGTAAAAATACCGTCCTCGTCGCTTCGAATAGTTTTTAAGCACTAATATTAAAAAGGAAAACGTCTTACACGATATATTGAAACAAGATTTTAGATTTCAACTATTGAAATTGAACATGTTACAACAATGTTTCTTGAGTCAACAAAACACGTGCGATTCGCATTTAACGAAGAACCGAATATACATAGGGCAATGGTCGAGGTCTAACCGCGACTATATACGTGTGAAAACACAACAAAATGTGAGAAACATACGTACGGCAAAGAACTCTTCCTTTCTTTTTTTAAAGTGCCCCAATCAGCAAAAAATTTTATTTGCGATATCAAAACTAGGTGTAATGTCTAACGTATAGGTGAGAAAAATTTTCAATTTGGTCAAATCGTCTTCCTTTATTGCGGTTAAAGTTTGCTTTTCAACTTTTTTTAACTTAAAAACTATTTTTTACTGATGTGTTGAAAATCACACCTTCATTAAAAGTCTTTATCACACCTTTATTAAATGTTGAAGGAAATTAAATGAAATTAAATGAAATTAAATGAATTAAATGAAAATCACATCTTTATTAAATTTTTAAGGTGTCTCTTTCAGGAAAAGTTTTTAATCGCACTTAAAAACTTTTCCTGAAAGGGACACCTTAAAAATTTCCCAGTAAACTCAGTTCAGCAGTATGTTAGTAATTTGTTTTGGAGGGGTTAACAACTTATTTAGGAGGTTGAAATATAATATTGGGGGTGGCACCAAGAGAGTTTGAAATTTAAAAACTCGGGAAAATTTTCAACATCAGTAGGACAGTTTGTTGAACTTCTCGATTCTTTTTGTATCTGCGCAAATCATCAAGTAATTCTAACGAATTGAGCGGAATTTCTATGTACTGACCTAAAGTGTGAATGTTTAGCAGATACTATTCTCTGTTCTCGATTACTTCATCTAATAACAATCACTTATCCAAATTCATAAGTCCATAGTTACTTGTATGGCATGTTATACCATGGAATGAATAAAACAGCAATCTTTTATAAGAAAGACTGTGATATTTATTTATTTAATCATCCTTTATCCATTCAGATTTCAATATTTATTTAAAAATTGTTAACGATATGTCCAACATCACATACGATCTTTGCATGGCCATAGTTGTTGATGAAACTTTACAATGTATGTTATTCATGCCAGTGTTTCATTAGCGTTTTCCCTTGTTCTTCAGTTGGGCTAAAATTGAAAAAAACAAGAAGTAATCTGGTAAACAAACTTAGTCTAACTTTGGATTTCCTAACATTTGTTTAGTTGTTCATGCTGAATGGAGTCAATTATTACAAAATATATTTTAAGCATTCGGATAAAGATCACGCAATAGAAAATAGGTACGCATTGCGTACATGCGGCAAGCTTCTTAATTTCATCGCAACCAAAATGAAGTAAGTTGATGAAGGCAATTGATATAATATAAATTTAATAGTACTGACACAAAATACAAAATCAAAACACCAAAATATGACTATAATATAGCAAGATTAATTACTTGAATTGTAAACTTGCATTTTCATTGACTCAAAGTCCAAAAACAACATGTTGCAAATAAAGCTTTGCACGATATTGCATCACAAGTTTACTCTGTATCTTCAACAAAGCATTTGCATGATATTGCATCACAAGTTTACTCGGAATCGTTAGGAAAACAACCTGCGATATTTTCAGGAGAAAGCGACAAAATGCTCAAAACGGTATTCTTCGTGATTGCGCGTACGTATATCCGTCTCACAGTGATCCAACTTCACCGAGGATAACAACGGACACTCAGACATGCACAGCCTCAGAGATACTTCTTTCTAGCCGCGCATGCGCAGCAACTCAACACAAAACCTATTCTAGTCGACAATTTGAAGAAATATAAAATAGAACTTTTCCAAAAATCATCATCTTGTAAACTCAAGATTCGAGTAATACGATATCTTTAACTTGAATCTTGAGTTTAAACCATGATGCTTTTTGAAGTATGTTTTACTTTTTATTTAAGCTATAGTATGGAGTTCTTTTATGTGTTAAAGTAACGGTTTTTGAATGCTAAACACCAGAAATACCTTTCTTAGCTTCTTCTTTCTTTCTGGCTGCCTCCTCTCGCTGTTTTCTTATAATGGCCAGTCTCGCAAGGTCTTTTTGTGCCTGTTCTGTTTTGCCCTCCATGTGGAGTTTTTGATAACGTTGCTGCGCCTGTTGTTTTTCGATCTCCTCACGTTCCCGACGTGATAATGTTGCCTCAGCATTTGTATCGAGATCAGTGACCTTTTGCCGCTTTTGATTTCTGTTTGGATTATTTACCTCAATGAGTCCATCAACCCCTTTAGGTTTTCTTATTTTCTAGATGAAGTAAGGAACAATGCTCATAATTGCAATCAATTTCTATTTAAGAGTAATCAAATTTTGATATTTTTTGCAGAGGTGATGCTAAAAATTTTAGGGGTGGGGTTAAGCTGATCAGTAAAGGATGCAAGACAAAGTAAGAGAATAAGAGCTTTAGGGGTGGTTAGGTAGTGTATACCAAGAGGATAGTGGGTAACAAAGGTAGTGGTTGAGAGTTGAAACATTGCCCAGAAAAACTAAGTTAAGCTATTCTAGTGATTTGTTTTTGAAAAATGGGGGAAGGGGTTGAAATGTTTCTTAGATGGGTGGACAATTTATTTAGGGGGTGAAATCTGAAACTTGGGACGAGGGTTGCATCCCCTTGAAACTCTCCCAGAAAATTTTTCCTTGGTCCAGTCTACTGTCTTTATCAGGAGTGATCTGAATTTTAAGTCTCCACATATTTCAGTGTAGTCTCTATTGAGCAGTGGCTTCAAGTTTAGATGTGCATTTTAAAAAGATTGGTGTTCACTCACTGTGACAAATAATAGATTCTTAAAGAAAAATGTCATTTTATAGCATGATCAAACTTGAAGGCTATTGTTATGTCACTTATATACTCCAGTCAAGTGTCTTCATCAGGAGGGATCTGAAATCAAAAATTGAGTTCTTAAACACTTAATTCTAATGTCTTCATCAGGAGTGATCTGAAGTTGAAACTTCAGTTCTTATAAACTCCAGTTTAATGTTTTTATCAGGAGTGATCATATATAGTACAGTGAAGTGTTTTCATTAGGAGAAATCTGATGTTAAGATTTTAATCCTGGCATACTCAAGTGCAATATATTTTCACGAGGAGTTATATGATGTCAAATTTGTAAGTTTTAATTGACTTCACTATGTATTTTAACTAAATGAAAATTATTGCTTTATTTTACCTCCTCTTCATCTGAATTACTCTCTTCATCAGATTCATCGCTTTCTTCACTTTCTTCTATCTCTGGTTCATTGTCACCATCATCATCATCAGCAGTATTGCCTCGTCTTTGCTAAAACATCATAATGGCTATTGTCTGACACAATACAGAAGAAACCTTGTTAAAAACTATGGTTTTCAAGTAGTGTATGTTTTTTAGCTTCCATTGTTTATAATGAATAAGAAACACAATGAAAAACATTGCATTAAAAATTGATGCATTTCTTTTACCCTCCATTCTTTATCTTTGCGTTCCTTTTCTTGCTCAGCCTCAACCTCTGCTTCAGTAATGAAATGTCGATTCCTTCCTTTGTGGTTAACTTTTCCTCGTCCTCCTAAGCAAAAAATAACAACAAGAGATTTCAAAGGCTATGTTGTTGTAACCAACTGCACGTGGAATAATTTCAATAGAGTGAAAGGAAAAGCATTTACACATTTTAAGAAAAGCAAGGAGAGATGCGACTGTTATCAGGAAAGTTAACTTATGCCACTATTTATGTTTTCAAAAGAAACTTCTTAATCTAATATTGCATCATCCATTTCCTCACCCAATATTAAGGCCACAACACGCACAATTGACTCAAATAAAAGTGCAAACAATCAAAGAAGCACTCTCACCTCTCTTAGACATATTTTCAAAGACGTGTACCTTCAATTCTGAACAAATTTGTACTTTTATTATCCTTTCTTCGAAAAGATCTGTCCAAATTTGAATATTCAAACGTACATCCATCAAAAGGAGGCATTCGTAAAGACCGTTTCCGAAGATAGTTTTCCGACGGCCAAAGTGTACGTGTTTTGTGGAGTTTGCGCGAAGGAGATTTGTCAGGCGAAATTTTGTTGCAAAATGCAACGACCACAGCATTTTTGGTTGACTTCCCAGTGTTATCTGAACTCTTATTTTTTAATAGCTGTTTTATTTGTTATGATATTAAATTTTCACTTGTTTCAAGTCATATGACTTATAATGAGCCAATCACATTAAACATACAAAGCACCTATGTAACAATATGGTGTTATTGGTGTATCACAACAGTTTAATTAAAAATAATGAACTGAAAAACTGAGAAATTAACATAGAATTACATAGTGCATTTTAATACTTGCATTTTACTTGAAAAACCGTAAGAATCCTAAAGGTTTCGAAAGTACACATTGTAAATGTTTGTTTAACATACCTAGTTATCTGAGCACCACGAAAAGTGAGTACCCAAGTACGGTGTTTGGGCACGGGCACCAACGTGAACGGCGACACCGGAGTAACATGTACAGAGACACTTATTCAGCACATGGTTTCAAAACTTGTTGCAAAGAAAAACATGAAGTTATAAATAGAAGAAGCTAGTGGGTATTACGTAGTGTGATAGGCCTGGAGATTTTTGCCCGAACCACGGTATCGCACTCCGGCAGTGGCGGCGGGCAATTTCTCCCTGCCCCCCTTCTCTGCGGCCCCTGATAGGAACTACCATGAAAAATTTTAAGATAACCATTAAGATATTCATTATTTACTCCTGCGCAATTTTTTTTTGTGTTTACCCAGTTTGAAAAGAATAGATTCTATTCCAAGTTTTTGTTCCTAAAATAAAAATTCCAAGAAAATCCAAGTGCTCTAAAATCATCATAATATAGAAATAAAACCCTAAAGTTGGAACATTAAAGATATGACCACTGTGGATGTGACTCATATATGACCTCTCATGTTACACTGTCACACCGTGTTCACACCACCCCATCCCTTATTGGCAATTTAGTGCCCAGACCTCCTAAACAATAGATGTTGCAGAAAAAAGTTTCATATAAAGCGGCAAGTGCAAGTTTTCAAAGTATTATTTATTTAATTTTACAAAATGCTTAACGAACTCCCACCGAACAGGATATTTTCTGTGTTTTGAAATAGCGTAACGCCATGACAAGCAGGTATTTATTTCATTATATCCATTTGTTTTCTGCGAGAGATTTGACAGTCACTTCAATATTGACAGTGCTGTCTTATATTGTTTTGAAAAATATTTTTGTAAATTTTGCGTGAAGACTTGACCGTTTGCTGGTACTTTTGGATACCGGATCAACGCCGGTCATACGAAGAACGGCTGCCCAGCAGCTGGGTGAAGTTCAGAAACTTCATCCCCACGAGCTGAAAACCTCTTGAAGCGGGTATAATAAAAGGATTTTGATGTTTCTTTCAAAATTCACTTGATTTGGTACTATATCAAAATGATTATGCAACCCAGTGTGGTCAATACTCTAGGTTCATGTTCATTTGAAAAGCAATAACTGGGACACAAGAATTGCTGCTGGTGAAGCTATTGAAGCCATAGCATCAAATGTTCCAAAATGGGTACCTTATGGATGCAAAGCTCAATGTAAGACATAGTGTAATGTTTTCATGTTAAAGTTGAAGTCCTTGTGCATATCTACCTACAATTGTCAGTTCTTTATTCTGAAATGATTTGTTCTTAGTTGCATTGCACAGGGACATTTACAGCCTTACTCAATGCACAGCAACTTGTAATGGCATGAAGTTTTAACTCTGCAAGTTCAATGTTATATATATTTTAATTTATTTAAAAATTCACCACATGTTGGATGCTGATATTCAAAATTTGGGCAAAAAATGATACTGGTAATCTTGTTTTCAAATTCAATCCTCTGTACCATGGGGCTTGCCAAAAACATAATATTTTTATCCATTACCAGCAGACAATTTTATGAAGTACGTAGAATAAGAAACATACTTCAAATAAAAGGTCCATGTTCAATTTGATATTTGAGAAAACAAACAAGGAACTTGATTTTGATTGTCCAGAATAGTGTAGTCTTGAGAAGGATTGTTGGTGTTAGTGTTGACTGACATTTTGACATTCCTAGTGCTAGTCATCTTCACAGTCTTATGAATGATGAATAATTGTCACCAACACTAAGAATTTTTCTGAGAAGTTCAGTAACCTGGGCAATTGACCTACGCAAACATGTAACAATACTTCTTGGTTCAAACTATTCACCATAAAATATTATATGAACTATGTTATGTGTAGGTGATGAAGCATCTGTTGTTCCAGGAAGTTTGGAAAAGAAACAAGATATGTTGATGTTTGAAAAGTTTGACATTACTCATGTTTTGAAACATGGCGAGGCTCTTCTGGGATCATCTGGTCAAGAATATGATGTTGTAGATGAGGAATTGCTGGGTATGTGTTGATTAATTGAATCAAACACTGCCAGCCCTTGTTTACATTGTACCGTAAAGTTGAATCATACCCTATACTTTATTTAAGTGTGTTGCTTTTTGCCGTGAATCACATATATTGGCTAGCATTGTTTTGCAAATCACAAAATTTGACTACTGTCTATTCAATGCAAGTTATTATGGCAAAACTAAAGATTTTTGTTTGTATGCATCCATATAAACATTGCTGACCAATTTTCCTCAATTATAGCATTTTGCAAGTGGTTCATGGTGCCAAATCATAGTTATGTTCTATCAAGTACTAATGTGTAAATCAAAATCTACATTCACCCCCCCCCCTCTTTCCGGTGCTGTAGAACTAAATTTATTAAATGGTGGGGCTCTCTTGATGCTTTTGTCAATAGTGCCCTTTTAAAATTACCCATTTCAAAGGTAGAAACGGGGCTCCTCCCAAAGCCCCCACTTCTACAGCACTGCATCTTTCACAACACGGAGCCATTTCAATGTGGATTTCTATTGCTAACTTCAAGGACTTGATGCCAAAGAGCGACTTGCTCGTCAGCAAGAATTGCTTAGGAAGCGTTTAGGCCTGGTTCCTGGTCTTGAGACTAATTTGGATATTGTTTTGGATGATGAAGATATTTTGTCACCACATCTTGTGGTGAAGAAATCTTTTCAAAAACAAAGGTCAAGGGAATGTCAGGTTAGTTTTTTCTCAAAATTAGAAGATTTTTCTTATTTATAGCATGTTTATGTATAATTTATGCAGAAAATCATGCTTATAATTTATGCAGTAAATAAATTTCATAATGTATGTGGCAAATCACATTATAATGCTGCAGTAATTATGCTATAGTGTATTAATAATATGCAATAAACCATGATTGTTAGCAATAAATCATGGCGAATGATTTAGAACCCAATCCCCTAGATGTCCAACCTTCTTTAAAAGAAAGTTAAAAGAAGTTAAAAGAAAGTTTAAAAAACCAATCCTATGAAATATTTTTACAACTTAACCAGGACTATAAACTCAGCAACTGTGTTTCAATGTGGACAACGCAGATTTTATTCGTGCGTTTGGTCAGTTTTGCCGCTTTTCTAGATGGCGGCTAGTTGCCTCACTCTCACTCGTAAAGAGTCGGATTGGGTTTTAGGTCATTGATCATGGCTTACTTAAAATAGTAATTACAATAAATGATGGTTTTAATGTTTGCAATAAATTATAGCTGAAATACGTGCCCACGACCAGCAGCTGTAATGAATGCATTTTTATTCGGTGTTGGCATAATCGTTTCAGGTCAAATAATGCCATATAATGAACCTTTTAATAACCTCGCTTTCTCGGTCTTTACGGAGAAATATCGGACCTTTGTTTTTTGTACAAACCTTGCTCTACGGGCTCGGTCTGTACAAAAAGACTTCGGTCCAATATTTCTCCGTGAAGGCCTCGGTTATTAAGGGCTTCATGCTAAATAAACTTCAAATAAATTATAACGGTTGTAAAGGAAGGGGGGGGGGGGATTAAATAGCTGCCAGGCTCTGTCACCTGAGTGTGTAACACATGACAACAAAACCAACACTAAATAAACGATTTCTGAGCCCAATCGACGACTCACTAATGAATGATTGTATTACGAAATCATTTTAGCCAAATCTCCTTTTTTATGATAGGCTGCTTCCATTTCATCAAAAGTAGCTTTCATTTCATCATGCGCACCTTCCATTTTATCATAAATAGCTTTTATTGCATTATTGGTAGCTACCATTTCATTAGCTTCCATTTCATTTTGGATTGATTTCATTTCATCGTAGATAGCTTTCATTTCATCATAACATATAACCTCAAATCACTCATTAAAACGCTTTTTGAACTGATCTGAATGATATCTGATTTAGTCAACAGCAGATCTTGTTGCTGCGGAAATTGCTGCAATTTCAAATTCCGCTGGGATGAGCTCGCGAGAAAAGAATCGAGCCAAGAGGAGAGTGAAGATTATAGCGAAACAGAGATCAAGAGAAAATAATTCCCCTTCTACTCCAAAGTAAGAAATCTTAATACTTTTTGTGCTTACACTTACATGTTTCTCAAAGTAAGTATGTTACATAAGAAATCAATATACTTGATCACCTTATACATATGTCATAGTGAAGATGGTACATCAGAAATCAGTGTACATGATCTCTTTATGCATATGTCATAGTGAGGATGGTACATAAGAAATCAATGTACTTGATCTCTTTATACTTATGTGATAGTGAGGATGGTATATAAGAAATCAATGTACTTGATGTCCTTATACTGATGTCATAGTGAAGATGGTACATAAGAAATCAACATACTTGGTCTCTTTATACTTGCGTTACAGTGAAGATGGTAGCTACATAAGAAAGCAATATTTAAATGCATTTTTTTCACTCAATATAGAGACGAGAAAGAATTTCTACCAGAAAAGAAAATGAAGCTCACAGCACAAGTTGTTGTCGATCAGCCGGAGGATCCTGACAAGATTGTCATTGATTCCATTCCTGACACAACATCGTGGATTGAAGAGGTTTTCATTTTCTTTCTTGGACAACATAACTTTGCTCGATAACTTTAAGAGTAATCTAACCCTACGCTGACTGTAATGTAAAGCTTTAAACCTCTCCAAATCTCAACGATGTCTCTTTTTTAGGAAGTTGAATGGCCTTTTACATTGTTTTGCCAAGAACTTTGCCATGAACTCTTCCATCCATCTTGGGAGGTAAGCAATGAATGTATGGTTGCATTATATACGGAGTTTCCGCTTGTTCATTTATTTCAACGATGCAAATATTTCCTAAACAATAAGTTTTATGACAAAAATATATTTTTAAAACTTACTGAAATTTACACAGTTCGTCTAAAAGTCGTATTGGCTACGCTCATGAAAAACTGCGAGCTTCTTTCCCCGCAATAAAGCTTTATAAACGGTGGCTACTTACAACAAAGTCGTTTGAATAATGAATAGGGTCATTGAAAATAAAGTTTTTAGTTCTAGCCTGATTCAAAACATTCCAGACAGGTCTTTCTGACAGAAACTGAAAGTCCCTTTATTCGAATGGTTAATTTTTTTACTGTTTTAAACTAAATCTCGTTAAACATCGTTGTATGATGAAACATTCGGTCATTCCTTTAGTTGTGGCAACTCATTTATATCCCTTTTTTTTGCTTATTTTTTTTCATACTATAGCAATGTATTGAAATCAAGCACATGCATGCTGTTCCAGTTCTGACCGTTTTTCTAACCGTATTGAATGTATTCGAGTAACTTTCTAAGGAGGGGGTGGGACTCCAGTTTGGATTAAAATTTAGTGAAATTAAGATTTTATTTTGGCTGTGCCTTTGCCCCTCCGGTATACCCCTCGATAAAAGAGCACGTGTTTAATCAAGATAAACTTGTATTTCATAACAAAACACTCAAGATTACCCAGTTGACCTAAATGACTTTAATTATATCCATGTTTCGTCACGATACGTACATCCAATATAACGCCCCGCCGTCCAGCTTTTCTTTTATTATTGACAATGATGTCTATCGTTTTCATCTTTTTTTATCATTGATGACATAAAAAGATGGGAACGTCGATTTCTCCCTGTTTTGTTTCCAAACGGTTCTCGTATCATCTATAGGTACGTCATGGTGCTGCTATAGGTTTGAGGCATATTGTACGTATACACGGCACTGGAGCTGGTAAAAGAACGGATACTCCTCAGGACGAAGTAAGTTTTTTTTACAAATAGTTAGATGTGTCGTATAAACATAGATACTATTTCTACGTAGGTGCCAGTGTTAATTTGTTGTCAATGAGTAGATTTTTGAATTATTGGATAAAGTAGGATGAATGTGTATCAACTTTAGTGCCACCAATGGCATAAGATGAATTAATGGATAAAGTAGGATGAATGCGTATCAACTTTAGTGCCAACAATGGCATAAGATGAATTAATGGATAAAGTAGGATGAATGTGTATCAACTTTAGTTGATTGCGTAGGATGATTGCGTATCAAATTTAGTGCCACCAACGGCACAAGAACTGATGAATTTAACATAAAAAAACCCAGATAAATTTGACATTCCTTCAACGATTCAATATGTCGTAACAATCTGAGCTCTTTAGTTGTACAATAAAGTTCAAAAACGATTGAAAGTTTCGTTGCAATGTTCGGATATTGTCTACGTATGTTAGAAGTCCAATTTTTTGTCACTTTAGAAAATTAAAATTTGGTGTTAGGCATTTTTTACATTAGTCATAGCATCAATGATTGAAGATCTCAAATATATAAAATAAATATCCCTCTCGTATAGCATCATTATTTTCCTAAACTATAAATCACTATCCCATTAGCCGTACGTAGCATAACCCCAACATTCAGCTTTTGTACAAATGGTGTCGATAATGCTTTTGTGTTTTATTTTGTACTCAGATGAGGACTGCCAACGAGCTATGGTTGGAAGATATGTCTTTAAAGTTGTTATGTGTGTTTGCATTAGATCGTTTTGGTGATTTTGTAACGGATGAGGTACGTAAACAGTCTGTCATATGTAAAACGACAGCTATAAAACGCGCGCGCTGATTGAGATATGTAACCGAGTTTGCATGTATAGATAGGTAGAGATAGCAAAATATTCGCCAAAAACTACAATCTCATCCCGTCAAGCCTTTTTTATGTATTCTCATTCTTTATCTAGCCGAGTTTGCATGTATAGATAGGTAGAGATAGCAAAATATTTGCCAAAACTACAATCTCATCCCGTCAAGCCTTTTTATGTATTCTCATTCTTTATCTAGCCGAGTTTGCATGTATAGATAGGTAGAGATAGCAAAATATTCGCCAAAACTACAATCTCATCCATCAAGCCTTTTTATGTATTCTCATTCTTTATCTAGCCGAGTTTGCATGTATAGATAGGTAGAGATAGCAAAATATTCGTCAAAACTACAATCATCCCGTCAAGCCTTTTTATGTATTCTCATTCTTTATCTAGCCGAGTTTGCATGTATAGATAGGTAGAGATAGCAAAATATTCGCCAAAACTACAATCTCATCCCGTCAAGCCTTTTTATGTATTCTCATTCTCTATCTAGCCGAGTTTGCATGTATAGATAGGTAGAGATAGCAAAATATTCGCCAAAACTACAATCTCATCCCGTCAAGCCTTTTTTATGTATTCTCATTCTCTATCTAGCCGAGTTTGCATGTATAGATAGGTAGAGATAGCAAAATACTCGCCAAAACTACAATCTCATCCCGTCAAGCCTTTTTATGTATTCTCATTCTTTATCTAGCCGAGTTTGCATGTATAGATAGGTAGAGATAGCAAAATATTCGCCAAAACTACAATCTCATCCCGTCAAGCCTGTTTTATGTATTCTCATTTTTCTATCTAGCCGAGTTTGCATGTATAGATAGGTAGAGATAGCAAAATATTCGTCAAAACTACAATCTCATCCCGTCAAGCCTTTTTATGTATTCTCATTCTTTATCTAGCCGAGTTTGCATGTATAGATAGGTAGAGATAGCAAAATATTCGCCAAAACTACAATCTCATCCCGTCAAGCCTTTTTATGTATTCTCATTCTCTATCTAGCCGAGTTTGCATGTATAGATAGGTAGAGATAGCAAAATATTCGCCAAAACTACAATCTCATCCCGTCAAGCCTTTTTTATGTATTCTCATTCTCTATCTAGCCGAGTTTGCATGTATAGATAGGTAGAGATAGCAAAATACTCGCCAAAAACTACAATCTCATCCCGTCAAGCCTTTTTTATGTATTCTCATTCTTTATCTAGCCGAGTTTGCATGTATAGATAGGTAGAGATAGCAAAATATTCGCCAAAAACTACAATCTCATCCCGTCAAGCCTGTTTTATGTATTCTCATTTTCTATCTAGCCGAGTTTGCATGTATAGATAGGTAGAGATAGCAAAATATTCGTCAAAACTACAATCTCATCCCGTCAAGCCTTTTTATGTATTCTCATTCTTTATCTAGCCGAGTTTGCATGTATAGATAGGTAGAGATAGCAAAATATTCGCCAAAAACTACAATCTCATCCCGTCAAGCCTTTTTATGTATTCTCATTCTCTATCTAGCCGAGTTTGCATGTATAGATAGGTAGAGATAGCAAAATATTCGCCAAAACTACAATCTCATCCCGTCAAGCCTTTTTATGTATTCTCATTCTCTATCTAGCCGAGTTTGCATGTATAGATAGGTAGAGATAGCAAAATACTCGCCAAAACTACAATCTCATCCCGTTAAGCCTTTTATGTATTCTCATTCTTTATCTAGCCGAGTTTGCATGTATAGATAGGTAGAGATAGCAAAATATTCGCCAAAACTACAATCTCATCCCGTCAAGCCTGTTTTATGTATTCTCATTTTCTATCTAGCCGAGTTTGCATGTATAGATAGGTAGAGATAGCAAAATATTCGTCAAAAACTACAATCATCCCGTCAAGCCTTTTTATGTATTCTCATTCTTTATCTAGCCGAGTTTGCATGTATAGATAGGTAGAGATAGCAAAATATTCGCCAAAACTACAATCTCATCCCGTCAAGCCTTTTTTATGTATTCTCATTCTTTATCTAGCCGAGTTTGCATGTATAGATAGGTAGAAATAGCAAAATATTCGCCAAAACTACAATCTCATCCATCAAGCCTTTTTATGTATTCTCATTCTTTATCTAGCCGAGTTTGCATGTATAGATAGGTAGAGATAGCAAAATATTCGCCAAAACTACAATCTCATCCCGTCAGGCCTTTTTATGTATTCTCATTCTTTATCTAGCCGAGTTTGCATGTATAGATAGGTAGAGATAGCAAAATATTCGCCAAAACTACAATCTCATCCCGTCAAGCCTTTTTATGTATTCTCATTCTTTATCTAGCCGAGTTTGCATGTATAGATAGGTAGAGATAGCAAAATATTCGCCAAAACTACAATCATCCCGTCAAGCCTGTTTATGTATTCTCATTCTCTATCTAGCCGAGTTTGCATGTATAGATAGGTAGAGATATAAAATATTCGCAAAAACTACAATCTCATCCGTCAAGCCTTTTTTATGTATTCTCATTCTCTATCTAGCCGGGTTTGCATGTATAGATAGGTAGAGATAGCAAAATATTCGCCAAAAACTACAATCTCATCCCGTCAAGCCTTTTTTATGTATTCTCATTCTTTATCTAGCCGAGTTTGTATGTATAGATAGGTAGAGATAGCAAAATATTCGCCAAAAACTACAATCTCATCACGTCAAGCCTTTTTTATGTATTCTCATTCTCTATCTAGCCGAGTTTGCATGTATAGATAGGTAGAGATAGCAAAATATTCGTCAAAAACTACAATCTCATCCCGTCAAGCCTGTTTTATGTATTCTCATTGTCTATCTAGCCGAGTTTGCATGTATAGATAGGTAAAGATAGCAAAATATTCGCCAAAAACTACAATCTCACCCCGTCAAGCCTGTTTTATGTATTCTCATTCTCTATCTAGCCGAGTTTGCATGTATAGATAGGTAGAGATAGCAAAATATTCGCCAAAAACTACAATCTCATCCCGTCAAGCCTTTTTTATGTATTCTCATTCTTTATCTAGCCGAGTTTGCATGTATAGATAGGTAGAGATAGCAAAATATTCGCCAAAACTACAATCTCATCCCGTCAGGCCTTTTTATGTATTCTCATTCTCTATCTAGCCGAGTTTGCATGTATAGATAGGTAGAGATGCAAAATATTCGCCAAAACTACAATCTCATCCCGTCAGGCCTTTTTATGTATTCTCATTCTCTATCTAGCCGAGTTTGCATGTATAGATAGGTAAAGATAGCAAAATATTCGCCAAAACTACAATCTCATCCCGTCAAGCCTGTTTTATGTATTCTCATTCTCTATCTAGCCGAGTTTGCATGTATAGATAGGTAGAGAATAGCAAAATATTCGCCAAAACTACAATCTCATCCCGTCAAGCCTTTTTATGTATTCTCATTCTTTATCTAGCCGAGTTTGCATGTATAGATAGGTAGAGATAGCAAAATATTTGCCAAAAACTACAATCTCATCCCGTCAAGCCTTTTTTATGTATTCTCATTCTTTATCTAGCCGAGTTTGCATGTATAGATAGGTAGAGATAGCAAAATATTCGCCAAAAACTACAATCTCATCCATCAAGCCTTTTTTATGTATTCTCATTCTTTATCTAGCCGAGTTTGCATGTATAGATAGGTAGAGATAGCAAAATATTCGCCAAAACTACAATCTCATCCCGTCAAGCCTTTTTTATGTATTCTCATTCTCTATCTAGCCGAGTTTGCATGTATAGATAGGTAGAGATAGCAAAATATTCGCCAAAACTACAATCTCATCCCGTCAAGCCTTTTTATGTATTCTCATTCTTTATCTAGCCGAGTTTGCATGTATAGATAGGTAGAGATAGCAAAATATTTGCCAAAACTACAATCTCATCCCGTCAAGCCTTTTTATGTATTCTCATTCTTTATCTAGCCGAGTTTGCATGTATAGATAGGTAGAGATAGCAAAATATTCGCCAAAACTACAATCTCATCCATCAAGCCTTTTTATGTATTCTCATTCTTTATCTAGCCGAGTTTGCATGTATAGATAGGTAGAGATAGCAAAATATTCGCCAAAAACTACAATCTCATCCCGTCAGGCCTTTTTTATGTATTCTCATTCTTTATCTAGCCGAGTTTGCATGTATAGATAAGTAGAGATAGCAAAATATTCGCCAAAAACTACAATCTCATCCCGTCAAGCCTTTTATGTATTCTCATTCTTTATCTAGCCGAGTTTGCATGTATAGATAGGTAGAGATAGCAAAATATTCGCCAAAAACTACAATCTCATCCCGTCAGGCCTTTTTTATGTATTCTCATTCTCTATCTAGCCGAGTTTGCATGTATAGATAGGTAGAGATAGCAAAATATTCGCCAAAACTACAATCTCATCCCGTCAGGCCTTTTTTATGTATTCTCATTCTCTATCTAGCCGAGTTTTGCATGTATAGATAGGTAGAGATAGCAAAATATTCGCCAAAAACTACAATCTCATCCCGTCAGGCCTTTTTTATGTATTCTCATTCTCTATCTAGCCGAGTTTGCATGTATAGATAGGTAAAGATAGCAAAATATTCGCCAAAAACTACAATCTCATCCCGTCAAGCCTGTTTTATGTATTCTCATTCTCTATCTAGCCGAGTTTGCATGTATAGATAGGTAGAGATAGCAAAATATTCGCCAAAAACTACAATCTCATCCCGTCAAGCCTTTTTTATGTATTCTCATTCTTTATCTAGCCGAGTTTGCATGTATAGATAGGTAGAGATAGCAAAATATTCGCCAAAAACTACAATCTCATGCCGTCAAGCCTTTTTATGTATTCTCATTCTTTATCTAGCCGAGTTTGCATGTATAGATAGGTAGAGATAGCAAAATATTCGCAAAAGCTACAATCTCATCCCGTCAAGCCTTTTTATGTATTCTCATTCTCTATCTAGCC